TTGCCTGTTTTGCATCGAAACTGTACTAGTATTAATAAGAAGTTAATGATATAATTTGACATAAGTCGTATACATATGCATATTTTCCGTAGTATTTTTCTTTTGCCCGTCGAGACGAGCAGTAGCAAAAGATGGATAGCACTCGGTCTAGTGATTGAAGACGCCGATCGTATCGTCGAAGAAAGGTGATAAAACACGTCTTCCCAATAAGCACCGACAGGCGCAATTACGGTTATCTACAGTTAAGGTCAGGGAAAAAAGGAGTTCGGGTCTCGTCGGTCTAGTTTGCCATGTTAGATCGATGCGCGATTGCACCTCTGTACTCGTTCGCTTAGAAAGATGTATCCAACGCGTATGCGGCGATGGCCGAGCTACGCCCATCTTAGACGGTATTATATACCGTTATATTATTTATAACGAGGAAACATATTTTGCCTACGCTTATGCGCCTTCCCGCCCTCTATGCCTGCATTTTCTTCGCTTCCTTCATTCGCAACGATCATACGATCGTACTTTCGTTCGAGTGTTAATTGCAGTTGCAAAGACAGTATCGAGTCGACCAGTGTTATTTATAAAGCACGACAAGTGTCTGCACCGATTAGTTTATCAACTTATATCGCGGTTTATTAAACATCTTTGAATGCGCCCGCCGCTTAATGACAGGAACCCACTTTATCGACCTTCATTTTAATGATCTCGTTAAATGTACCTTGTCTGTGGTTAAATCTATATTAATTTCCCACAGTGGTTTGCTGGACTGCCTTTTTTTGTCAAGGATTTTATGTCTTTTTAATCCATTCTTTCATCCTTCTATTTCTGAGATTATAGATTCATATGTAATGGCATGCCAAGATTTCCGATCAGAATACATTTTTAACTTTATATTCGAAAGATGATATCTAAAAGAATTTTAAATAATATTTGGGTATAAGAGTATGATTAAGAAAATAGTATAATACACAAGCACTGTTAAATGATTGTATAATATTACTTAAAATTCTTTTTAATAATAATAAAAGAATATCATTTTTAAAGTATAAAATGAGAAATCTCTCTGATCAGAAAATTTTATATGTCACTGTAGCGTTTCCTTTCTAAATCTTTTAATTTCTTCATCTTGTGTCCTGTGTTCAATTACCTCTCACTGTATCCACTGTGACTGAACCTATTTATTATGCTAATTAAAGGATGCCATGTACGGATAAAACAAAAGAAAGAAACCCAGGAAAAGGAAACGAGGAAAAGCAACATAGACAACTTTTTTCGTAGTCGCCCGCTTTTTTAACTTACTGTCCGGAATCGCGTTTAAAACTTCACAGGGATGCCGTAAGACGGCGTTAGTAAAATTCAGGCGGCTATATGTGGTGTGTACAGGCTTTTCAGCTGACGGCTAGTATGTAGTCAAGATGGCTTCCGCGGAGCAGGTCGGCCTGAACAAAACTTGGGAATTATCGCTGTATGAGCTTCATCGTACGCCTCAGGATGCTATTACTGACAGTACAGAAATCGCAGTTAGTCCACGAAGTTTGCACAGTGAGCTTATGTGCCCAATTTGTCTGGATATGCTTAAAAAGACTATGACTACCAAGGAGTGCCTACATCGTTTCTGTTCCGATTGTATTATTACGGCACTTAGAAGCGGTAATAAGGTACGTGTATGTTCCGGAATCGTTCTGACGATAACTATTAAATATATGATTACTCTCGAGACGAAGAGTATCTAGATACTTCTTGTTTCACTAAAAAATTCATGTTAGTACTTGGTCAATATCTCGTCACTGTTCCTTTTTCCCTATATATTACGCTTTTATGTAAATACTACTCTATCTTTTTATATGTAGTCTTAGATCAATTATGCAGTCAAGTGTTGAAGTAATTTTTTAACGAAGAGTAGATTGCGATCGTATTTTCAATCTATTTCTGTCAAATTCGATGGCACTTTTTGAACTGCACCATAAATGACGTTTCATATTGTGTGTAATGTTTGTGTCTTTATTTCGATGATATTAGTTAGAAAAGTAGAATGTTCTGTTGATTATTGAATTTAGATTTCTGTTTTATTTGATAACGTAGAAAGTTGTGTTTATCCTTCATTCTCTAAGATAGTTCATAAGTTATTAGTTTTGAATGTTGAATGAAGTTGATTTGTTTCGTTTATTGGCCTTTGTGAGTTATTTTGTGACAGTGATTCTGATTTTATCATTTTGAGATGGCTATTAGTGAGTTAAATTACTGGTAGAGATTAGGTTGGTTTTGGGAAATATGCAAGATGTGATATTCTGTTTATAGGAATGTCCGACATGCAGGAAAAAATTGGTATCCAAGAGGTCTCTCAGACCAGATCCTAACTTTGATCTATTGATTTCCAAGATATATCCCAGTCGTGATGAGTACGAGGCACACCAAGAAAGGGTACTGGCAAAACTGAACAAGTCGCATTCACAGGCTGCACTGGTAAATTCTATTACAGAGGGGATCAAATTACAAAGCCAAAATCGTTCTCAGAGGTCTAGGAAGAATGCTAACGAGTCAGAGAATGCTAGCAACGCGACATCTTATAACAATTCACAAAATGCAAGTGCCCCAGCAACACCAAACGCTACAAATGCTGCGAATCAAAGTGACTCGTCTCAAAGTACAACAGGACCTTTAAATAATAGTAGTGGGGGTAATTTAAAAAATTCTAATCGCACGTAGCTTGTAATAGTTTTACTGTATCTGCTTGGATAGACTGAATAGATGGGCCTGTAGTGAGTAAAATCGCCAATTTGCAGGTACAACATCCAGAAATTCCACCACGCCATCACCGAATCCAGCAAATCAAATTCCCAAACCTCCAAAACGACAGAAAAGTTTACAAAATTCCGAGAATGACTCATCTAGTGCAGAAGCTGAAACCGGTGGTGGTGATTCCATGGTAGACACAGAGGGTGAAGGTCCGAGCGAGCCTTTAATGCTTAATGAAATCGAACTCGTCTTCAAACCACATCCTACGGAAATGGCCGGAGATAATTCACTCATAAAAGCTTTGAAGGAAAATAGCATTCGGTACATCAAGACGACGGCGAACGCGACAGGTGAATATTCGAAAAAATCGTACGGATCTAAGAAGGCTATCCAGAGAAGATCAAGAAATAATCCCTATTAATTTTTATAGTGGATCATCTGAGCAAGTACCTGGCCATGCGTCTAACATTGGATCTGGATACAGAATTATCAGAATCGGATAGGCTATTGAATTTTTGCATATACATAGCACCATCGCCTGGTCAATTAGTGGTTTTAAGTGGATCTCAAACGTTAAGACAGGTGAACGACAAATTCTGGCGCGTCAATCGACCCCTGGAAATGTATTACTCATGGAAGAAGACCTAGGGAAGGCCTCGAAAGTATCAGTCTGATGGGAGCTAACCCTGTCAAGCTCTAAAAATAGAAAACAAAAAATAAGAAAAAAAAACATTCATACTACGTGGAGTACAGAGAAATACAGAGAAACGTGTATTATTATCTATCAAAAATTGATGAATATATTTTACTGTACTTCGGTAGCCTTGGATTATGTTCAAGAATCGGGAGAGGTACAAGGATAACGAGTTTCTCGTGATAGTGGGCAGTGGTGCAATTTTTCTCTTTATGGGAGTGGTTGCTCGTACATTTCCTGCAAGGGGAACAATAGAAGGAACGGATAGATTTTTAATTGAAGCTTTCTATAGCAATTTATTCCAAACGCAACAGAATTCAGTCCCTCGGATATGCAAACTGCCATTTGCCCGATTCCATTGGATTATGAATGGATCTATGAATTTTCGTGTCGCTAAACCGCGAACTGCGTATAATATTCACCAGACTATGTCCTTTTTTCACAGGTGTAAATTAATCCGATGCGTCCAGTTATACGATACTTGAGCAAATTGATGGCCTCAATGGTTAAGTAACTTATTTAATGTAAGTCTCCGATTCGCTGTGGACCATTCTGTACAGTTTCACGAAGAAATAAACCAATGTATATACTACTACTCTTGTAAGACAGGCTATTTGAATCATAGAAAGAAACACAAATCACGTTTTCCTCTTAGAACTGCTCGAAAGTTCTTCTTTCTTGTTTCTTTATCCTTTTAATTCATCGAAGTATGATTGATCAGCTTTACTTCCTTATCCTCCACAAAATGCTCTTTGATACGAAAATCTAATTTTCGATCACGTTAAAGGTACATGAAAAGCGTCTTTGGCTTAGTAGGCGGAATAATCGATAAATGCCAACCCCATCCTGCGCCCTCTTGCAATTCCACTGAACCGAAAACAATGCGAACACTCCGCTCGAGTTATGCTACCCTCTTTTAGTAAACGGGAAACCACGTCGAATCATTCGTTATCCTTATGATACCGTATTGTATTATTTTTTATATCAACTATAATTCTTCACCGTTAAACGTTCCCATACCTTTTTCTCTATTCTTGTTTCTTTTAATTCGTTTTGATAAAGCGGTAATTTTGATGGATATTCCTTTAAGAGGTTATTGAAAAGTATTCTGCGAATGTTCATTTTTATTATTATTATATCACGATAATACGTAAAAAAGAAAATGTTAGAATTGAGAAGATCGGAATAGACGGAAGTAAAGCACGTAGAGTATCCGGTAATTCGTCACCTAGTACATTTCTCGTCCTTTCGCAAGATCCCCATCATTAATTAATGAATTCATAACAGCGTTAGATTCACACCAATCTGCTAGCCCATAATTACAAAGTACGCAACCGAGTAATAATCAAGGCTTCTAATTAGCGTTGGAAATGAATTTCTAGACATATTCTCCATCGCGCTTTAGACCTTGTGATAACGGTAGAATCATTAATAGCGAAATGCTAATTAGTCTATTTCTGTCTAAAAACACTGAATACTGGTAACGAGCGAACATTGTTACGAGTTCTTGGACTATTGCATCGCCTGAGAATTCTACTTTACGTCTTGGTTGCGCTAGTTAATATACAGGAAATTCATGTTTCTATTTATATTCAGAATTTCTTTTTATTTTTCACGTACTCACGAGCAACACCACTTTACAGTTCAGCGTTGTTGGAACGAGACTAATTTGCTTGGTTTCTTATCGAGAAGTATTTGATTGCTTTCCTTGGAGTCCGTGTCTTTCGCTTCTGTTACAGAAGACGATCCATTAGACAGTAAATTCATCGAAGATCTTTCTCTCGTTAGAATGCTTATCGCTCCATCGTCTTGGAAATTTTCTCCATACCCTGCTTCTTCGTCTTCGCTCCATTCTTCCAATGAACTTCTCTCAGAAGAATCCTCTTTGAAAATATCTCTCGCCTTCCCTTCCTCGGCGTTATCCAACCTCTCCTTGAGAAGTTTGTAAACCTCGTCCGAGGCGAATCTAAAAATTCAAGTCCATTAGAATATTAGAGTATTAGAGTAGTAGAAGACAGTATCGATCCAAGCCTTCCAGAATTTCTTTTTCGATCCTATTATATTGGATATCGTCCCTCCCATTTAGTGTCTCGCGTTACTCATTTTCAACGGAGAAAGAAACTCATTATAGTGGTTCAGAGTCTATCCTATTTTCTGGTAATGCGTGCAATCCCACCGGTAACGAAATAGATGGAATGACGTAACCAACTGGAGGAATACTAACGGCATTTTATAAGGTTCCTTGTACCAGAGCGGGAATCCCGTGGGATTGTATCTTCCATCCGGAATCGAATTCTCGGTCGGCAATGAATGCAGCTTGAAATGCGCCGGTTCGACTGTCTCCTCCAATAAGGCTGACACTTGTCGCGCGTATTCCTTCGTACCAGCTGTTCGTTCCAGTCTGGGAATTAATCGCAATACAATTTTCTCATGTCTTAACTGAATACATAGCGGCACACAAATATATTTATGTACTTTCCTACTTATCCTATTATAGAAAATTGTTACGTACATATTGTATGTGTTAGATAAAATATTTTGAGATTTCATTAGCATTATAACGAGGCACGATTGTCGTGCTAATATTGATCAAACTTGAAACCAAGTTGACAATGTATATAGAAGTAGTAAGATATTAATTGCAAACATATATTTAGTAAGAAATTAACATACAGTATGAATACTCATCTTGAACATATAACAAAGGCAAAGATGATGCCATTGAATATTGAGGCATATTAATATAACGAGCAATGGACTGTCTAAGTACTTTCTAAGTACTAAATTTTTGTAAAGTACATACTTGCATCAAATACGTATCTTCTACGAACATTTTCGGGTTTGTTTCAAACTTTCCCAATATTATCACGACAGTCGAATGTGAATCGATGTCACCTCTCGAGAATTTAATTTGGTCTCACTAAATTTCATCGTGTTTCCTCGTTCACTTACTTTTGAACCATCTGCCTGGTGAATTCTAGTCTCGGCGTTGGTTTATAGCTAGTGGATGATGGACTGGTAGAATCCAAAAGACTTCTCACTCTGCCAGCTCGTGGTTTGTTCGATTTTTTTTGGATACCATAAAAGTTTCCAAAGTGCACCGCAGCATCGTCAGGAAGGTTCGTGGTTAATCTAGTATCTTTAGCAGCTTTGTTGTTCTTCGCTAATTCCTTGTCTGCGGCATTGGTCGAGCTTTTCGAGAAGTTGGACTTTTGCTTCCTTCCTTGAGACCTTGGAACGATAATGATTGCGTGTAAAAGTAACAACGGTGTCGTTACGCCGGATGCGTGGATGCGTGTTCTCCACGGACTCGTTTGTTCGTCGTTACGTTCGTTGAGTGCCTGTTACTTTGCTCGAATCGTTTACGGGGGTCGCGTTTAACCCACTTATACTCGAAATTACACGGCTTGACATTTTAATAAATCTGGACTAACTGCAAGAAGTTACTCGAACGACGCGATAAAAAAGGATAAGCTGGGGAAACGAGTTTTCGAAACATCGATTACGCTACTTTAAAACCGCGAGCCAAAGTTTCTGCGATTATTTTGCACGATATAGTTTAAGTAAAAACCGTGACGGTGGAGGGCCATTAATTGACGATTACCGTGAAAGCACTTCGTCCAATATAGAAGCTACTTGTTCATGTAGAATAATTTCGCTGCTCCTATAATTAACTTTGTGGATAAGAACGTCAGAAGAAAACAGGACGTGTGGCACAAATGAGCTGAAAAGTACGAAGCCACGAAGTATGAAACGAACCTTTTAATCCAGTGCTACCGTTTGATCATCCACGATTGACATACGTACCGTTACGGAACATTTATTTCCGTTACGTCGGTAAAACGCGCGCAAACCGAGTGGTATCGGTTAATTCATCGTGACAAGCAATTTGCGAGAAATTACAGTGAATAGAGAGAACGTCGGCCGAACACAGGAAAAGAACTTTGCAAGAATCGCGTTAACCGTTTCGGCGACAATCGCGTCGAATTGTATGAATTATTCATTGGAACTCGAATTACGGACATCGCCTATGTAGCCAGTATAATGAAACTTTACAATTTCCTGCCAATATGCAGCCGGATTTATATGTAACCTGGGATGAATCGGAATGGAGTAACGATGACCAAGAAACTCGATGTTGAGGTTTAATTCGACACGCTAATCCATTAGCCGTGGTTTCCATTTGAAGGATTATAACGATTCTTGGCATTGATAGCGGTTTAGGTTGAAAGGCAACAATTTATAGGATCAGCGTCTTAAAAATTTTTATTCTCAGAAATGGATAAAACTTTTTGTACGTCGTGTCAGACACGTTTAATGAATGGTATTTTATGTTTTGTGAGAACTTGTAATTTGAATAAGCTAACTTTATTCGCTTCTTCATCAATCATATCTGAATTCTCAGATAAGAATATACAATTTTACATATTACATTGGTGCACGTGATACGTGTTTCTTTCACGTTTGAACTTGATGAGCCAAACTTATCCATTTACTTTTAATCTATCAACGCAGTAATTATCAATCGCATCAAGGAGGAAGAAATTTATTATAAATCACGTATATTCAGTATTGGGGAAACTTGCGATTAAAATGTAACTGTACTTGTAATAATCAGAATATTTTTGAGATTGTTATGAGATTTGTGAAGAAAATGGCGTGCAAGATGTTGGAAGCGTAAATTTAGTATGTTGGGAAGATTAAAGTCTTTCTCTATTTCACCTAATTATTTTCTAATGCAGAAATTGTTTTAAAAGAAACCGTAATAGCTCCATTTCGGGAATTTTCTAATGTTAGAATCTTACAGCTAATATCTCTTATAAATCTGAAGTAACGAAACTAGTTCACCGTTAGAAAAATGCATTGATTCGTGCGGAATTTACTTGGATTTATTTGGATCGCTATCGAAGCAACTACGGGATGTTAAACTTTTATTCTAAAAAACGACATTTCATATACACCAGCCTAATAATAAAAGAGCTATACGTAATCCTATAAAATTAATTTGTGCAACAAGTACAGAATGAACTGGTTCATTTGTGCCGCTATTAATGCCAGGAAGCGGTAAGAAGAAAATGTAAATTTTGTATCATCGATCACGACCTCCAGATGAGGATTCTTTCATATTAGGTATTTTAAAAATACCTTTTGATTAAATACACTGAAAGCGATTAAAATCTATGGAATTATATGTATAAGGAGAAAAGGGTTGACGCTTGATGGGTTAATTACAGTAATTTTCTCCGACTTCCGCTGTCTTACTCGTGATCACGGTAATTCGACGCGGTTAATTTGAAATTCTTTATCGCGTTTGACATATTTTGATTTATATACGAGTCCTGTAACTCACTTTTGAAATTTGCCGATCAAACATGGTGATACGTACAGGTTATTCGACATGGTGGATTTCTTTCGACGATGCTCGGAGATCCCTGTCGCTGATTTTACTTCAGATTTATGGAACATATTTTCCTGCAACGACTCGACGAATTTATCCCATTAATCGGATTATAGTCATCGATAAAATGTCCTAAACGTTGATTTTTCCTTGTTTATGGACACGTCATCGTCTTTTTCTACAAATTACCATTCGTTCGAGAGAAAGATTCTCAATAGCCAAGCTTTGCAAGGGAGACGCGAAGTCATGGTTACGAGATTAAGCCGGGGAAAACACGTAGCAGAAGCGTTTTAACGGAATTAGATTGGTACGCGTTGCAATCGTTTTAATGGCAGCTACATCGATAAAAGGGGGTTACTTTATTTTCACGTCGCAAACGCAGTGTACTGCTGACCGCAATTAATGAGAATACTCCTGATCCAGAATCGTGATAGATATTAAAGAATCGTAATTTTATCTCGGAATGCGATGTAGAATACGATTATCTAAGAAGATATAACCTCGAAGGAACGAGACACAGGGTTTCTTTACGATTTGGTTATACAGAAGACTTTCTCGATTCTTTTCTGTCGTGTTCGTCTGATTTATTCGACCTATCAGTTAATTTCTTTTCATCTGTATCGTAACGAATCGCACGAGGAGTGAAAGTGTGGAAGAAAGAGAGAAATCATAGTAGCACGAATGTTAATGAGTGTTTCTCCGCGGTTGGCGTAGCACGTGTCGCGCAGATATTCTCGAAACAAAAAGACGGCAAGTCCGTAGAGTACGTTGTCTCGTTTTTATGACGCGTTAAGAAAGCACCATGGAGCGACTGGTCAGTCTACAAGAGGGGGAAAAAGGCGACAAGGGTGTACTGGGAATGGGGAAAGGTCGGGCAGAGAGCTCGTAGCATGTAGTCGAATGCATCGCGGTTTAAAAAAGGGGAATAGAAAGCGTTCGCTTATTTACGATCGAAAAGAGCGAAGGCTCTTCTCGAATTCGTGCATGGCGCGCGAGAAAAGCGAGCAAAACCGCCACGTGATGCATATCTTATGCACGTGCCTTGGAGAAAAAGAAAAAGGGACCATTGGTCCTGACTCGGCTACAAAATTATTTACTGCCCGCCACATCGAGAAATGCTAAATATTTCATAGGTTCAAAAGGCCTCGCACGACCCTCCTATTCTTATATACAATGGCACTATTCGACTCCTTATCTTAGATTAGACGAAACTTTTTGAAATTTCATGAATACCGTAACAAGACACGACTATTGTAATTATGTTGATGTAATCTGAGAGTAATTTGGAAATATATGTAGGAGTCAGAAAACATTTAAAGGCCATGAATGGAAGACACAATGAGTCACATTTCTTGTCTTTTATAGAAGAGTAATTTGTAAATTCAATATTTTCCAACTAGTTTCACATCCGAAATGTCTCTTCTTTTGATCGTGGAATTAAATGTGTTTTTATGCCTTTTTTAAATACTTGAAAAATTTTTAACAGAACGTCATGAATTTATCGTCTATTTGCATAAAGCTCTTGTAATTTCGTATAACTTTTATCTGTCTGCATTTTCCAATTCGTTTCAATATAATCGCGTCTTATTACTAATGGAATTTCAAAATGTTTCATATAACGCACTCACAAAATATCTTAAGTATCCAAATACCTACGTGAGCCACTGTACCATTTTTTTTCTTCCTTCCGAGATTTCGAGGGTAAAAGAAACGCGTTCGATCGCCATCCTCTACAGATTCCCATTCTTCATTGTGAATATTTTCACAATGAAAACGGCTATCGTAACTGTTTTTCCTTCACAGATAATCTTGAAGAATGTGTCTAACCTCGCCATCTCGGTTCCAACCATGTGGCCCCGTTTTCGTATCTCTTCCTATCCTAGGATTACGTAAACCGCCTACAACATATGGCGCGTGGAAAAATTGGATTTACACATAAAGGGTGTGTTTGCATAAAAGATATGGTCGTATGTATGGTGCTTGCTTCCTGTTCGTCGCTGAAGTTTAATTGCTTCGTTGGCTGCAGCGCAGTTGGTCCTCGACGCTGAGCAACATTAAATGTTACAACAGCTTGAGCAAGCGATTAAGGAATCAATAGGTCTCCCTTTGCTTCGAAAGATGTTATGAAAGAGAGCGTTTGATCAGAAGAGGTCGTTTGATCGAACTCGATGGAATTCGTCGCTCAAATACTCGTTCGGGTAACGCCTAGAAAAAGGAACGATATTCGATACGTGGTGATTGGATCTGCGGTCGATCAGCATCCCTACGGATTCATTCGTTGAAAAAGTATAAATTGTACTCGTTTTTTAGCTAGTTAAACTTTAATTAAATTTCCGTCTACCCTGAAAAGTTCCTGCTTGCGTTTTTCGTCCCGTACTTTTACCGATCCCCTGATGCATGAATAATGATGAAATCCGAAACAGTTCGAATCGCTTCGAATCTGTCCATGTATCTGTATGGGTATATCCACATCAATTAGGTTGAGAGTGTTCAGTATGAATTCTTAAAACTCGCTGTCAGACATAGCGGACATCATCACGTTATGCCTTTCGGCTCTCACAAATACCATGTAGTGCTAAATAATCTTAATCTTCCGACATGAAGTAATAGAAGAAAATTTCCTGATATCGTGTTCGTAAGTAAGGTAGCCAAAGGTCTTATATCTTGTTCCGCCATCATTCGATTGTTGTCTCTTTACGTACCTCCTAGGTCGTTGAGAAATTACTCCCTTGTGCATATTGTACTTGTGGCTATTTTAAATCCATTAAGGGAATTGTCCACTTTGTTAAGTCATTATGCCATTATTTTATTATTTATTTATTAAGTCATTATATAAGTACATTATGATATCGATCTTTTTGGATAATTCAAATTGTCCTTGAAGCACTTCTTAGAACATATACTTCAGTTTTTATTGTATTTATTTCATCGCTACTTTCGAATCTCCGTGTATGTATTTCTCTTTCTCTTTTCTTCATTTTGTAAATATTAATGTGTAATCTATTTTTCTCCGCATCAAATCTTTGTTTACCTCGTTAATAGTAAACATAATAATAATAATATGGCCAAAAGTTCGAATCATTTCGAACGTGACTCGAAGCTTAAAACTCTTGGAAGTTCTGATAAGATCTCGATTCTTTAAAATTTTGATAGTCTCAAAAATGTTGATCGTCTTGAAATGAATGTATGTATGGTAATAACTCAAAGCTTCCGGATTTTCTTTAATATTTTACGTCAAAAGTACTGTTCGAACAGAAGTGGGCAAGAAGCTTGTAATATATTCAGTACTCATCGAGCTTTCGAAACCTATCGAAACTCTTGAGAGTTTCAAGATGTTCAAGACTTTGAAGACCTTCAATACTTCGCAAGCTTTCAATATTTCAAGAACTCAAGACTTCTCAAGACTTATCAAGACTTTCAAGAGTTTTAAGCTTCGAATCGTATCCGAAGTGATTAGAATTGGTCGCCACATATACAATACAGATTTCGGGACGATTCAAAGTGTCGCAGGACCTATCAGTATGCATGAGGTGAGCGTTCTTCGCCATTGACATCTGTTCAAGTAGTTTTTTATCGTAAGCCATGCACGAAGAACCGAGGGAAGTACGTTGTTCTACGTTTATGAAAATGACTTACGTCAACAGATACCGTTTCGAGGAAGAGTGATTCGTTTCACTGTATACTCAAAGGGAAGCGTGTTAGCATAGACATGTTATCGTGGTTTCTGGTAACGCACGTTGAGAGATATTTTTGAAAGGAAACGCGCTAGAAATATCGGTCTTTATGTTAACACGTGTGGTGGAATTTGAGATATCTCGTCGATTTAAACACACCGTTGTTAGAAGGGATATATACTCGTTGTGCAGACGGCATCGGTCGCAATAAAGACATCATTGAATGTTGTGTCGTACGTATAATTCATGTTTTACGAGTGCAATGGCATCCTCGACTCCGTCGCGAATGCACACGGGCATGCAGAACCAGTGTGCTGCCTGATGCGAACACGCTCTGTGGGAAACGATCGGCCCTCCTTTCATATGTTACAAACTATATCGCGTACCGCTGCATCGGTTAATACAGACGGACATTCTTAGCTTCCTCGATGGTGTACCCCAGTCGCAACAAGTTTAGAGATGCATAAGTACCCATATTTTTTTCTCCTTTATGCGTTAAGGGTAATAACAAATCTTCAATTTTACTTTCTCTTATTTCAGCAATCATTAGTATTAGTTTCTAGCGTGTTGGAGGAAAGACTCTTAAACTCATTTACTCGGAAGATTTAATTGGAACAATATCTTAATTCATGATCGTAATATCTTCGAGATCCCTAATTTTATGAAATCTATGAGATTTTCCAATTAAAGATAAGAATGTTATAAGTTTCTTTTTTCAAGTTCCACGCTTTGTATTTTAATAATTAAGTTTCTCATTAACGCGGTCCAGAAGTTTTTAAAGCTTGTTTGCTTTAAAGGCATCAGACTTACCTTTGAATAATATTCTAATTTCTACTTTCATTCTACATTCAGCTGGCAGTAGTTTTGCAACTTCTGATAGTCAACATTTTCGATTAGACAATTTTTATTTCAAATATGACACATAGACAGTTCTACATTCTCAAAATTTCTGATAGTCGATCATCTCAACATCACCTTAGCTTTTATTTAATTGTCATCAAAGTACATAATTCTACCACGCCTACGCACGAATATCTTTAAATTCTTCAGATAATATTTTTGTAAAACGCTGGAGGGATCTGACACTTTCGTCGTGTTTGCGCGCAAGGTAGCGGTATGTACGCGACGACGCATCTACAAAAGTCAAAAGTCACCGGAGACCTGTGTTTACCAATCTTAATTAGGGATAAAACGAAAGGGTTGAAAACGGTAGGGTCGCGAGTTGACAAGAATCGGCTTTTCGAATGCGACTTCGGGCGTCTTCGGTGGTTACCGACACTCTTCGTACTACTCTTAACTCGTGCTCCTGCTGCCTCCACTCAGTCGTTGTCGCGCGCTCGTTTGGTTTGGTTCGGGTATTAATGGTGCTTCAACATTCACAAGAGAACTTGACGATCCAGGCCCAATATAAAGGAGCTTGTGCTTGACCTGCATTTCATTCAAAAAGAAATACCGTCGCAGCATGTGCTCGATCGCAAGGTAAGTTTGATAAACTTTCTCTTTCAAATATAAATATCTGCTAGTTCTTCGGTTTATTCCTATGAAACATCACTTGTACACATTTTTTTTCGATTATGAATATTTGGTAATTCAAGTCTTAAGTTTTCTTTGCGTATTGTGGGCAAAAATGTTCCAGAACAACGTGGAACGTTTTCGCTAGACGTAGCAAGTGATTCCCGTTGTTCGAGGAAACGACGAATCGAGCCACTTCCTGTCTCGATCTTCCAAATTTCCTTCGACCACGTTCGTGTCTCGATAAGATACGCGTTTCGACTCTTCTTTCCACGTATTTCGATCGGACAGGATATCGCGTGGAATTTTTGGGGTCTAAACCACGAACGTGCTTTGTGACGCGTTGTCAAAGAATTAACTCGAAGTTCATTCAGTGGCGGACGGTCGAGGGAGGAGTAGTTTTCTCCTGTCGAGCAGGAAATATCGAAAATCCATAATGGCCGGGTAGCGTCATAAATCTTGGGGTCTTCTCTTGGATTTCCCCGATCAGTTTTAACGCCGTAATAATGGTCTATCTTTGCTCCTGTTTGATCATCGAAATATATATTGATTGGCTCGTCCGGTCGCGTTTCGAAAGGCTCTTTCCACCCTCCTTCTTCATTTTTTCTCTTACCCTTTCTTTTTCGACTTTATCCGGCAACCGAGAGAAGCGAACTGGAGAAAGCAGCAGCAAATATTTAAGGATAGTCTCTTTTCGATTGAATTTGTTGTAGGCCACGACGAACGGCGCCGTAGCCTCTATCCCAGCTCGGTCAATATTGACTCTGGCTCGAGCCAAAGCCCATCGTAATAAATTATTGACTTCATGGAAGCAGAGTAGAAGCACGAAGGTCCTGCAGTGATCTGCATTAATCGTTAAGTATCCTTCCTTTATGGCGATACATTTGCTAGAAGGCTAGGGAAATTACACGGGACGCGTAAATCATTTTTACGACGGGATTATCGTCATCGCGCAGGACGAGGCAGTCACGAATATTGATAGCGACACAGGGATTGATTGGACTGGAAAATAGTGGGTGCGTTGAGTGCGTTATGCCCCAGTTTGACGTACCATATTTCTGAAAAAATTCGCAGGATGATTTTACCAGGCTAAATCAGAGATTCGCTGAAATACGCCCGTTGTTGGTATAATATGATTTCACTTCACTAGGACCTTTGCATATCTTTCTCATCAGAGATATCTGTTAAGTAATAATGTTTACTCTAACCTCGTTGCTTACTGTTTCATTCATCTTTCCAGAGCTTTTTATCAAAATATGCAAAAGTAAGTATTCAACAGTTTGGTCTATGATCATTACCAGACATGATGCTGTTTATGTATTTATAGGATATTTAAACGCATAAAATGTATGATATGCAAAAATATACAGGATACTGAAAGTAAAGTATCCATTATGACATTTGAAGGATGAGACAAACGTAGGTTTAGTTTTTCTAGTTATGCTTATAAAAATATGATTTTGCATCAATTAAGTTGTAGCTGATTAAATCAATGTAACGTTATACTTCAGTAGCAGAGAACGAATTTAATCAGGTACTGAACGTTTCTGAATATCCATTTGCAAACTATATAACTCGCGCTCCAATGAGCATCTATAGTATAGTGTAATTGACTTGCCGGTGGAAATTCCAGGCGTTCGATCGAAACTCGTTACGAGTTGAAAATGGGGTAGTTAAATTTTCATAAGTGTATCGTAATTTAAGGCTCGTCTTGAAGGTGTAAGTGCACTGTGCACTTTTTCTGTTAGTTCGTCGGCACTCGATACGCGATTCGGAGGGGTCGCCCACGCAGTAAAACACGTATACACACGTATACGAGCACGAGCTCACCACACACCGTGTGCTCCTTGTTTCTCTTCTGTGTGCCGGCGATTTACGGTAAGGGCACCGTCTGCTTTGTGTGTTAGTCACCGACCATAGGGGGTGAAAGAGACTGGCAGGACTCTGTTCTAGTAGAGGGGAAAGAAAAAAAAACGAAGCAAAAGAAAGAAAAGGTGGCACACGCGTATACGATCGAACGCGTTTAACACGTATGCTGTAAATTGGATTTTCATTGCTGAATGTTCAGTACCTGCAATGTTCCTACGGAGTAATTATTGTAGCGAAGCTTTTTGCGTATTTTACATGCGCTCTTTCAATATGAATATGAATTATTAACTCTATAAGATTTGATGGATTCATGTTTCCAATAATAGAATCACTCGCTAATATGTGTTACACGTTGTATTGTTAGAAATATAAGATCTAGTGCTGATTACGTTTCAATGATGAGAACTGTAAGATGGAAATCTCGCAATCTTTATACCTGCATGCATATGTTATTAGATATCTAATAAGTATGTCAAATAGCATAGCGTTAACCTTGCAAAATTGCAACACAGTGCTAATTGTATCACTGATTTGCATCCATAACAGTGTTATTCAGTAGTAATATCTGCGTAGTAAATATTATGAAACTGTTTTGCTATTTGAAAATCTCTTTATTATTTTCAGGATAGTCAAATTAATCGTTGAACTAGTGCGCTAAATAAAAAAAAGATTCTTCTAAATTGATACCAAGACTGTTAACATTATATGTCTAATTTTTTATTGGATTTACTACGTAATGGGCTTTATTATGTATTAGGCTTTAAATTTGTGGTCTTTTATCCCCATAAGAAGCTAGTAAATGCTGCTTCTAGTTATTAAATACACTAGGTTGTACATTTTGATAACATGCATATAGATACTATTACTACAAGTCTAAAAAAGTATCTGAATACCTATGAATGATAATATATGTACCTTTCAGAAGTCACACTGATCAACTCCATAAATCGAAAAGTACAAACGATGGTGATACGAACGCTGTGTTTCAGATTTACCATTTAGGTAATCTTCTTTCAATGAATTCGCTTATGAAAATAACCTGTTTCTTGACTTTTGTAAATTGTTCCTTGAGAAATGAATTTTAATGGTGTACTTGCGCGATGAAATTAAGAGAATTAATTGGCTTCTGAGAAAGTCGTATACAACAGATTATACACTAACGATTAGTACTCCTCTAGTGTATCTTCATAGTGTTAAGATGTACGGCTTATTTCATCATAGATCATTACATTGAGAATAGGTTCTTCGGCTCCATTCTCGTTTCCTCTTCGTTCCTCTTGCTCTTTCGCGGATTCTCTTGTTCCCGCGATGATTTTCTTAATTGCGCTTAACCAGCCTGCTTAGTCAACTGAATCGATTCGAAGGCTACCATTCCGAGAAGAATAGTTGCCGCTCTGGTAATTGATTGGAGAAAGAAACGGGAATGGATGATTGCGGTTGAAGGTGGGAATCGGTGAGCCGTTAACGTTGGCAACAAACGAGGCGGCGTTTGTCCACTCTGTTTGTAATTACTTGTTCTACTTGGATCGATCTGGTCGATTGCCGATCACGAGCAGGATACACTTGAATCGAACGTGCAATTATCAGGAGATAGCGTTGATCGGCTGTTCCACACTATAAAATAAGATTGTTACCTTTGCGTCTGAGGTAGAATAACCAAAAAGTAAGATCGACTTATTCTCTCGTTTGCCTTTCAAACTTTATAACCTCCCAATCCGAAAAACTCACGACGATATCCTTAAAACTATTTAGATTCTTAAAATATGAAAATCATAATCGTGTATCCAAGTCATTTGTGGTTAACGTTAGGTGATCATAATATGTAGAGTTTCTTCTTTTTTATGTGAAACTTCAAATCGAATTTAAACAGGTTTCATCGAGAATTAGCCTGGTACATGCATACTTAAATTTTCGAATTTGATTTTCTTGAGAAGCAAGTTTCAAATGAAAAGATTTTACTGCGTACTTCCGATTTATTTTCACGTATAATAGAATATAGAATTAGCATAAGCTCCCATCGATTATGTATTCGTATTCAACCAGGAATTAGTCAAGTACGCGCGTTCAATAAATTTTCAAATTAAAGACTTCTATAGGTATCGAAAACGAAGCTACGTATAAATCCTATAAACTATCATTCCATATTTCTGACGTGTTTTTTATATTACCCGAGAAACTAACCACTTTCCTCTTGCACTACGATTTTCGATACATCGTAAAACCTCTTATGCCCACTGGAATTCATTAGAATAGGTCGAATAATTGGTATGTGCCGATACAACGAGCAAACATTTGATATTAGCCATTTGAAGACTCATTTAACCACAGGTTTCTCGTATATTTACCAAAAGAACGACGGAGAAAAGGAACAGCGATGGGCGTAAAAATAACACGATCTTCGAAACGGTCGTACGTGTTTGCTCGCACAGGCTACAACCATTTCCAGGCGACGCGGCAGGTCTATTTGTTGAGAGACCCTCGCTTCCATTTGTATAGGAAAGGAGAATCGAGAATAGAAAGAGAGAGAAGTTTTAGGGTGGCAGAGTTCGATTGGGACACGCGATATATTACGTGCTCGGCACGTACGTGCTGACTGCTTCGTACATAAGTAGACATAGGCATAAATAGCAGCATACGATGCGTGTGCAAACGATCTGTGTACACGCCGTCGAAACGAGAAAGTATCGGGGAAGGGAATACCTCGATGAAGGAGAGAGACGACGAGACATGCGAGTAACGCGAGCATGCACGTTTTAACGATTTCTATGGTTCTAATTCTTCTATTTCTTTTCACTTACCTTCCTGGTTCAAGGGAGTCGAAAGAGCGAGAGGAGTCCCTCTCGAGGCTGTAAACGGCCTTTAGTGGCGAGTGATCTTACCCTTTGATTCTCGGAATCGTTCTCCCCGTCGTCAATTCTTTTTCTCGGACAGAGTCAACCGACGAACACGCTCAGTTTCTTTTCTCTGGCTATTAGCATGATGAGGAACGCGTTTCCTTCGTTCGAAACTTGATAAGACCGGTGATTGGTATTGTCAGTTTAACTACTGCGCAGGCAACTGGATATACTGGTATCCATTCGTGCATTTCTTTTACCTAC